GCGCAAGGAGCCCACACATCTTTGTACCTGAAGGCTTCTCTAAGTTGTTCGTCTATATAACCCCAATATACTATAGTAGTTTCCATTTTCTTTTCCATTATCCCTATATAACCCCAATATATACCCTAATAATCCCTATATAACCCCTATATAATCCCTGTAGTTTCCATTTTCTTTTCCATTATCCCAATATAACCCCAATATGTCCCATTACAGTTCCTTTTGGCAGAACTGAAGGTGCCCACTGCCAGCGAGCCTGCACCGAAAAACTCTTTGCGGCGCGGCAAGCACAGGGTTTTTTTCAGGCCCCCTTAAGTAGATAGAATATGGTTTTGGGGTATATTATAATAAGATCCCCATATACCCCATATTCTATCTACTTAACGGGGACTATAGGGTCTGGATCTCAGATTCAGGGTTCTAGGTTCGCTCTTGCTTGCCCTTCTATGCAGGAGCTTTCCTTCGGTCAGGCAGTAGGATGGAGTCTCAGCAAGCGGAAGCGTGGCATGGGCCTACTCTTTGGGAGACCTGTGAATCATTGTGTTAACTTTTATGGCTACGGGCCAGACATGATTCTTTTCAAAGACTAAGCTACAGGGTTCCTTGCAGACCTTGTGCAAGAGGACCCCAGAGGTCGAATGCACCCGCAGGTTCTCCTGATTGTTGGAAGCTGCTGCTTTGAGTTGCCCACGAAAAGCATGCAGACAGCTGAGGATGCCTTCACCTGGACCAAGGAGGATGGTTGCCTCCTACTGAGGAAAGGCCCCTGGGTAGCAGGGGGGCTTGGGGGTGATGGTTTATCTATACATTCTTCTTCCGTGTGGTACTTCAATTTTTCTCTGATACGCATTTGTCTCTGAGCATGGCCAACGCTACCATGGGTCGTGTTGGCATGATTCGCGTGTTTTTGGTGTTGCTGTTGCAAGATGACACGCTGAGTATATCGAACAAAGGAAGGCCGCAGTCCACCACCACTATTATACTGTAGTGCAAACACTCGTCCTCTCCTCCCTGTTTCCACTTAACTGTCAGGAATAAAAGTGCTAGCATGAAAGCTGACGTTGGAAACTTTCTCATGGGCTACACATGAGCACTGTTTCTACGCTTTCCTAGCCAGGTCGTCAACTCTGAGCCGTAGATCCGAAATCTATCCTAAACCCCATAGGCCCTAAACATTTTGACTGGAGACCATCCTAGGCAGCGGCTCAACCTGGAAGGCATGAAGCTTGCTTGCGACATCAAAGAGTATGCCGAAATTTGGGGTTGGGGGCTTCAGGGTTCGGGCTTGGGTTTAGGGTTTAGGGTACGGGTTTGAAGCAAGAGGACTCCAACCTCATTGTAAGTATGCGCAGTTGTTTCGAGCAGCCGGAAGTGTCATTGCTTTTGGGGTGTTTGAGTGAATTGCGACTCACAGTGTAAAATCCACTTTTTACTTCCCTGAAAGTTAAGTTGGCCACACCTACACCACGAACCCTGGAGATCAGCCCAAAGGTGGAATCATGTGAGATTTGCCCAGATTCATTGTAGAAAACTGCGGGTCCCTAAAGAGCGAATCCTACTACAAAACGGCTAGGTATCCCCCCCCCCAATTTTGGAACATTAGTTTAGGGCAAGTTCCATGCGTAATCCTCAAGGCTTGTTTATTTATTAAGTTACCCCGCACATTCTGAGTCCTATATGGCAGTTTCCAAAATCTGAGGTTCCCTTGGAGGTCGCGGTGCACACAACAAGAATTACAGTATTTGGGGATATATGACGGAGACCGCCATCTTTGAGATACCTGCCGTAAACCCTTGCAAAGAGCACCCTTCCGAACCCCCAAACCCCAAATCCTAAACCCCAAAGCCTAAACCCAGCGAACCCCATGCTCAGCGAGCAGACGTAAAAATCTGATGGGGTCGACAAAAACCCCTGAACCCCAAACCCCACATCCCAAACCCCAAACGCTAACCCTAAACCCCAAATCAAACACCAAGCAGGCGGAGCCACAGCACGGTGCTTACTCGGGCTACCCGTGCCAGCAGGACTTGGTGGCCATCAACTGGATCACAGATGAGGCACGGATTGCTGATTATATTTCTAATGGTTATTTCTCGGTTTTTGTTATTGTCAGTATTCTTACTAGTTGACATTTTTATGACTGGCAGTTTGTTGCCGCTTATTCTGGGTTTTAGTATAGCGTGATTCTGTTGGGGGAGGGGTCTCAAGGGTTGAGGGTTTTGGCTGTGATTTTAAGCTTGGGGGGCTTTGAGTCTAGGATGTGGAAGGGCTTACAAGCTGTTTAGAAGCACACAACGGGCAACACGAATTTTAAACACTGCTGATCATACTGTATACTGCAATGTGTCCTTCCCATGCAGCGTACAGTATCTGCCACCACGCTGCTCATCATCGCCCTTGGCTAGAGATCTCTCTCGTACCCCCAGGCGCAGAAGCACACCTTGCTCGATGGTGTGAGTCCGCCGAAGAGCTCTCTAACTGGCCACGGGACGGCGGGCACTGTGCTCTGCGTTATGTGACCAGGCTGCACCTTCAGCTGTTTTCATTCCGCAGGAGTTTAGACCTGTTCAAGATCTGGGAACGTCGTCGTGTTCGAATTGTTGGGCAATAGGATTTAAACAGTCATGATGGGATCGTATACGTTGTACCACTGTTGGCTCCAACAGATTGGAAGCCCTGTGCTCCAACAATCTTACTACCCCTCTAGTCTTCCAGCAAAAGGGAAATCATCACGTTCCTAAGCCCGGGCATCAAACTTAAGCCCCTAATCTTTAGCCCTCACATAAGCCGCATATCTCGGATGTAAAGGCCTTCATGCTTATGGTTTGTCCACCCGCATCCTGATTTCCCCTGAAGGACCCGACAGCACTGTCCAATTTCGAGCACACGCCTGGTGTTGGAGGGCATTCGGTTTGGGGTGTAAGGCTTAGGGTCTGTGGTTTGGGATGTTTCACGGTTTACGGTTTGCGGCCTCTTCAAAAGGTCCGCAGAAGATGTGCCTGAACTTGCAACTACGGATCCCTCTCCGGGCGAAGGTTTCGTGCAGAGAGCGGGCTGCGAACCAAACAAGATTTTCCCAACCACAAAATCCATTGGCTTTTGCCATCTTTGGGTCTGCTCCGTGTTCAGTTCAAGGTCGGCTCGTTTAAAGATGTATGTCAGTGTCCCACTGCAGAGTTCCGAAGACCTGCGCCAACATGGTGTGATCCGAACTACAACGGTTCCCTAGTAGAGGAAAAGGGCGCGTACGATCAGCCTATGATTGGCAGGAAGTCGTCGCAGAAAGTACTGGTCCCGCTTTACATGCCTTGAAGCCCACCCCGGCCGGCCCGAGCCGTGCAGTTTTGACACCCAAAGTGGGTGCCGCCTCAGACATCTCATTCCCACAGCTTCAGGCTCATACAGCCTTACACCACAGACATAGATCTCGTCCGGTTCCCAGCTTCGCTGTGCAAGTGCTCGGGAGTCATAATTTCTTGCTGCTGCACTGGGAAGTTCATTGAATTGGTCTTGTAGTGTGAGGGGACATGAGAAGCCATCATGCTGCTTGCTGCAAGTCTTTACTCCTAATTAGGGAGTTGTTTTCAGCCTCACTTGCTGTCACACAAGCAGCGAACAGGACAGTTGGCATGTTTGACCACAATGATTTTTCTGAGTGATGTTTTGTGGTCAAATCATACTTGGAGGTTCGTGGGACTAAGCAACTACTTCTAAGTGGGGATGTAACTCCACATATAATTAAACCCTCTAAGGCCATTTAGAGGGCTTGTAAGTAGGGTTAGAAGTCCAGTTATAAGTAGTTACTAAGTCCCATGAACCTCCAAGTAGTGAGTTCTGCTAACATCCAAGCCCTGTATCCAGGACGCTGACTGCCTAACAAGAATGCTGCACTTGAAGCTGAGAGTACGAAATCTGCTTCCCGACCAGCGGTGTAAAGTCTTGCGTGAGATCCTGAAGTTTGCCATCATAACCTCAGCTCCCTAGAGCCTTGGTGAGGTGTTGCTTCAGCAGTCCCACAAAGCGGGGATTTTCAGTTGCCTCTTGGGCAAAACTAGCAGCGTGACTAGGAAGGTTTTTGATAAAGGCTAGCATTAGGACAATAAAGTGACACAAGCCCGTTCAGGGCCTGATTCGGTTTTCACCGGCTGAATGTCAGGCTAGAGTTTTGCGATATGTGGAATTATATTGCCACCTGAATCGACTGATGTCATAGGGCCATCCTCAGCATGAAGAGGAGTGAGACTGCGCTCATACGGTTTTTCTCAACAAGCATGGAGCTTAAATGTAAGTTCTTAGTCACCTGATCTTGATATGAACAGCTCTGGCAAACCAAGGCGATCAGCATGCTGTCTACAGCAGCCAAGTTTTGCGTCTGTCTGCCGGTTTGCATACGTTCCGCCCTCAGCAGTGTCCACAGCCCAGGACATCCTCATAATATTGGAACTTCACAAATCACACCGAAAAAAAGCTATAGTGAAAATTTCCGAAAAATCACGATATACCCTTAGGGTTCCTAAGGGCACCGCATAGTCAGAGCTTCACACACGAATGATTTCCAAGTCATGGCACGGTCGGATAAGTGTGTGTTGAACTGGGAGTGTTAAAGAATCAGCAGTTCGTGAACCTCAAGAGCGGCCCCTACAATCTCCTCGTCCACGCCGTATATCCCTGCGGAGAAGCTCCCAAGCGGCTCCTTTCTCACTTTGGTGTGGTAGCTCAAAAGTTCCTGAGCAAAGTAGGACGAGGATGTCTGCAACAAGACAGCAGAGAAAGCATCTTGAGAACTGCCTGTGGCTGTTGCGAAAGAGGTCCTGAATGCTATTTTGTAGCCAGCCCTCAGCCAATGAACATCTAAACTTGAGAGATGGGCACTTTCCATGTCTGTCGGGCTTTTCAACCTTCAGGCGACGCATCAATGATTCTCAGATGGTGGAGACGGGAGGGCAGTGGAACTCGGCCCCTTGCTGAAGGATTCATGCTGCATAGCTTCACTGGGAATTCCTGTGAAGGGGTAGTAAACCACATTTTACTACTGGGCCCATTACAGTTCCAAAGGCCCCAAAAGTGTGTAAACAGAAAAAATGAGTTCGCTCTCCCTCTGCCCTCCTCCTTGGCCCAGGGTGATAGTCATCAAGGCAATCTGACCCTGGTATCGAATGAAGGGCAGAGCCTTGTGAAGCTTGGGCAACAATTAAAAAACCCACGGAATGCTGGCTTCAACGACTTCCGATCCTTCTTAGCTCGCATGATGTCTTGACTCGTGAGAAAAAGGAAGGGCAAGGCAGAGTGACTGAGCAATGAAAACAGCTTAGCACGCTCAGAACTGCTCCAAGCAGCGGCTGCCGTGATGATTTGTTTATGTAGGGCATGAAAGTGGTTGCAATTTGGCGACTGAAGGCTCCACGAGTTTGAAGATGCTATGTCAGATAGATTTTTTGAAGCTGCGAATCGGCAAGCAGGCCCTGGATACGGACCTTGCGCTTGCCTTTTGGCGGGCTGTGGTGAGTGATCCAGAGTGGCTGCAGGCGGGGTGTGGCCATTTGCTTAGCAATAGGCCCCGCATCATGAGCAGTCTTTCTTTGAAGCCGCAAGTCATGCAGAGTCATGCGTTCTGGGATCTCATTTGCAGTAGGAATCCAGCATCATTGCCTAGGATTGTTGTGGGAACTGCATTTCTCTGTCAATCCAAAGCCCAGGACATTCGATTTCAGCCTGTGGTGGTTGAACGCTGCAGTACGCACTGACGTAGCTCCACCGGAGAGCATGGTGCAACCTTCGATACAAGCTACATACATATACTTTTCAGTTGCGTGGTATGGGGTGTACCTATTTGCGCGGCGGTTCTGATCATATAAACTGTATAGTACAAACTCAGAAATCGTTGCGATTCAGCAACTTCTCCCTGGGTTCTGCAAAGTCAAAGGAATCGGACCCCCAGTACACCACAATTCCTAACAGCCTACGCTCTGAATCCTGAACCCAAAAAGGCTAAAGTCTCAACCTGGGTCACTGTTGAATACCCCCAAAAATGAGTACACAAGGATAGCTTGCATCCCAGAAAGGAACCCGAAGCTAGGAGCCGGCCGTGGACAGGTGAAGTGGATTGTCCGGGCCTCCGCGGAAACGGTTTTTAAGTTTGACGCGCTGCACTCGATTCTCCTCAAACAGGTGGCTTTGATGCTGGTGTGATGCTGTTTGATTGTCTCCCACAACCATGTGGGTTTAGGGTGAAGGCTGTGTCGAGGTTATAAAGTTTGTGGAATTTATTCTACTAAAGCCCAATCCTGAAAACAAACATCGTACATGCTTGCCAATGTGGCACGGGAAGCACGGTATTTCACCCGCTCAGAGTCTGCCAGGCATGGGAATTTTAACACGTTATCTCAATGTTCTACGATGATACTGCTATTTTCATCGTCACTGTTATTATATCATTATGGTTACTAGCAAGTCTTGCATAAACAGGCTGTGATTCCTAGCATGCAATCATTTCATAGGCAAGGGCAGCAATGGTTTGTACTACCTACACCCATTGTTGCCCTTGACCTTCAGGAGACTGTGCAAAACGTAGACCGCAACCCCACCTACCTGGTCGCTGCTGGAGACGCAGGATTCCCGGCTTACTTCCAGGCGCCGCCTGGACGGTACAGGGTGGAAGGCATTCCTTCAAGCCTCTTGCATATTCACGGCGCTGTGGCATGTTGTCGAACACAGAACTTGAGGAATGTGGCCCATGAATGCTGTGAATTCACTAAGCGATCAAATGATATTTACACAACTTAACATTTCCGGAGTCCATGCAGGCTGCAGCAAACAAACAGGACCCATCTGCCATCTGGGCCAGTCTCGTCTATGACGAGTAATTCGCAGGGAAGTACGGCGTGGCACCAATTTTCACATTCCGGAAATTAGTTCGCTGGGATGCCTTTCACAGGCCACACGCAGGTAGATGTCTCACTGGCCAACCCAAACGCGCTGAGGTGAAGCGTATCCAGCCTGATACCCATGCCTTCTACCACATCTGTCAGGGTTGTCTCAAAACGTGGGACTTTCATGAGAAGTCTTTAGCAGTTCTTTGGAGATGTACAAGCCTAATACCTACACATGCGGATGTTTCCCATAGTGTTGGGCATTCCATACCCCGATCGGCAGGGTACGGATCAGCTAGCGGCTTCTTGTTCCATACCCCCTCATTCCAGAACTTCAGAAACAGCGACAGACAGCGGTCGGTAGGGTATGGATCAACAAGTTAGCAAAGGCCAGGCGTGTTAGGAGACAGCCATGTTGTTCAGGCCAAGATCCCCGGCCTACGCATAAGCCCAGGCAAGAGGAATCTACCGTTGTTTGGTGGATAATGAAGGAAGGGATGCCACGAGTAGCTCAAGATAATCCAACATCATCCAGGTTTTGCCAGAATGGTACGTAAGGACCTTTTTCTTTATGACGTGCTGACTACTGATCCAGAAGCCCTAGACAAACTAGTAACCTGGTAGTTTCCGTTTTCTTTTTGACGCTTTTGTTCCCTACTAGCCATCGGTAAAACAATCTGAGAGGTGCTCTCACAGACAGCCCTTCAGCAATTTGGTCTGATGTCCCGCGAGTGTTTTTGGCAGATGAGATGCCGCTCGACATAGTTTGGGGCTTGGGGTTTAGGGGTGAAAGCTGTTCCGTGCCTAGCAGCTTCCTCAGGTCAAACTAGGAGAAAACAACGGGCGTAGCTGCCCAGCAAGGCCGTAAGAAATCTATATGTAAATGAGTTAAGTTGTGGGAAGCTGGCACAGCTGTGGAGCTTTCGATGTCCATCATCGCTTTTCTGGGACCAAGCCTTGAAAGAGAAGCCACAAGCCTGGGTGAACTCAGGGTTAGTGCTTTTCTCGTGTGTGGTGCAGGGAAGCGCGTGAGCCAGCCTCGAAGCCGGGTCTTGAAACGCACAGCCTGAGCCCACAGCACACGGCTGAACTTGAAAAAGGGTATTTTCATTAAGATGCTGTCATTATCGCTATTGTGCCATTCCTTCCCCTCCCTTTCCCTCCTCCGATCTCACCTCCTCCCTCAGCACAACCCAAAGTTGAGCTAAGACTGGGGGGATGTCCAATGGCCGCAAGCCATGTGGATGGACAAGTGTCTGGGCTGAGAGAACGGATTCGCAGGCTTTACTTGGTGGAGTTTTCTCACAAGCACCCGTCTCGAATCCAGCGCAGGCAGTTTGATATTCCAGCTTGGAATCCTCGTCTGCTTTAGGTCCCTAAGGGCCTCCTACTTCGAGAAAAGCACCCCTTCTTAAGCCACAGAGTTTGGAAGGGTCGGCCAGGAATGCTTTGGGGATGATGCGTTTGTCCGAGGTGCTTCATGGACACGGTCCACGCCAGGCGCCTTGCAACTGACATGCCGGAGGGCGCCCAGATCATGTAAAAGCCTGAACAGTTAGTAATGCAGTGGATACTGAAAATCCGGCATGACCCTACATTCCTCATATCTTCGGATTCTGCGATTTCTTAAGGTCTATTACGGTCATGCAGGGTTTTTCGCATCCGACGCAGCAGACATCTATAAGCTTCAGCTATAGTAGTTAGATTGGCCCTTACAGTTGGTTTCGAGGCTATGCAGGAAACCTTGGTTGGGGCTTGGCTTATGCATCTCCTGTTTGGATGTTTCGTTAATGCGATCCCAGGTCAAGTCTGAAGCTGTTGCAATATCCTGGGCTCAGTTGTAGAGTGTGCAGGTCATGCTTTCATCACTTTCACATACTGAGCACTACAACAGCCCACGACATTTTCCCGCAGACCACATGCTATGCCAGTGTGCGCTAGCAATTTGTGGTCGCTTGGCACACTGCCGTTTGCATAGAACCAGGCGGCCTGTCATCGACAGTATGGTTGGCAATCACACGGGCTTCCTGTCAGCAGGAGCAGGCTGTGAACAACAGCTCCATGTTTTTTCATAATCGCATGATAGAGGGCCAATGGGTCGATGGCTTCTCGCCTATGCAAGCGTGGCCTCTGTGCCCATATACTAGCAGGCGCATGTCATGCAAAACATGCCATGCCCGACCTAGGAGAGGCCGCGTGCCACGATACCCATGCCATAGCCTATCATTCCGTGAAGCTGGCGGAGCAGAGGCGCCGTGCCAACACGTTTTCCTGCAAGCAAGTTTATGGCGAGATAGCACTGCAGATCAAACAGCGTGCTCGCGCCCTTGAGCCCATCGCTGCTGCGCCTGGTTGTAGTCTTTTGCTTTGTAGTGTCTACACGCTTCTTCTTTTGTGTGGCCTGGAGGAAATGCTTTGGCGATGGTGGCTTGGCTTCATTTTGGATCTGTGCAGGGTTTTAAGCAGATTGCTTCCGAGCGCTCATTCACAGAATTTCATGGCAGTAGCTGAGTCCTTCAGTTACAAGTAGATCCCACGCCCAAGATGTGATGATATCGGGATCATTAGGTGCAGAGACCGGAAAGTCGCAGAGGGCAAAGCCAAGTGCAAAGCTCACCTCAACCTCCGCGATCCGCAGCTTTGTCGACAGTGGCCATGTGTCTTTTTAGGGTAGGGTGGGGAAGAGGGGGGGTAGGACCTGGAGGGATTGCTCTCTCCTGGTGGCATAGATAGGCGGGCTCGGAGGGGCCTTTGGGACAGTCCAATCTGATTCAGGGTTCAGGTTTCCATGATCAAGCCAGAGGCCCAAATCATGAGGCGCTGTCTGAGCCCAACCTGAATAGCTTTTGAAAAGCATAGCTTAGTGGGTTTGTATACCAGAAAGCTGGGCCTCCGCCTCCCATGCTTTTCTCAGGCAAGCAGGATAACATGCTGTGGCATAGTGTTTGGCCAGCATCTGCAGCAGTTGGAATTCCGGAACCTCGTGGTGCTTAGCGGTATTCTGTAAGAAATGATGGCCAACAGGGGGCATCGGGTTGTGCAGCTGATGTGTTGAGTGAGCTCCAGGAAAGTGGTGTACAAATGTTGTGAATCAATCTGTTAATATACACTATAGGAGTTTCCATTTTCTTTTCCATTATCCCTATATAACCCCAATATACCCCTAAGCTCCCCCTCTAAACCCTAAACCCCAAACCCTAGACCCTAAACCCCAAACCCTAAACCCTAAACCCCAAACCCTAAACCCCAAACCCTAAACCCCAAACCCTAAGCCCTAAACCCCAAACCCTAAATGTAATGTT